CACAAGCCAAAACAATACTTTTGGCTTCTTTTTTTTCATTGTTTTAATCAAAACCTAAAGAAACAATGGTGTCAGAAAAGCTTACACTTTGCCAGCAGCTATATAGGATTAATTTTTGATGTACTGGGAATTGCAATGGCACAGATTGTAAAATATGCGCCACTAAATACACTGTCCACTTGTTTGTTTAAATCTCAAACCACAAATGAAGTGGTTTGAGATTTAAATAGTCATTTGTGCTCACTTTAATTGTGTTTATGTAACAGAGCACTCACTGCCAGGTTGTGAGCATAGCACATAACCTGTGTTAACTCTGTTCCACCAGATGAGAGTATGGGTATTTTGCCTTAGAAAACAAGATGTTTCTGAGCAAGTGCATTTCCACATTCCTCCTCCACCACAAAAGCTCACCTGCATTCTACACGTCACAAAATAAGCAAACTGCTTTGTTTAGCTTTCCATAGCATGGATAAATCACTGTCAAAATGCCTCTTCACTGATGGCATTTTTGTTTCTGGCTTCACTTCCATGTGTATGGGAGATGCTGAAAGCCTCAGAGTTGCTGCCGGTGTTCCTGGTCACCCAGTGCCACCCCTGCCCTCCTGGAACATGCTCCTGTGCAAAGGGACAGCGAGCTCTTCCACCCCACAGCCCTCTGCCTAGCATGGTCTTGTGGATGTGAGATTTGGGTTGAGCAGCTGGTGGGAACCAGAGGCTCCATGAGCCCCATCTCATAGGAGGAACACAGGAGTCTGGCCAGCAGGTGAAGCATGAAGATGCCCAGGACCTCTGCCAGAAGTGGCAGAGCCCAGTAACCATCACCACATGGGATTCTCCTGCCAGAAAGCTTTCCCCATGGAAACAGCCTGCCAAAACTGATGTAGAGGCCTGTTTGGCAGGAGATACCCTGAGCAACCTGCAGCAATTGTGGTTTGCTTGTGCACAGAGGTCCACACGACCATCACAGTGTAGGAAGGGAGTCCCCATAGACACAGCTGTATTTATCTCCTGATGACTCAAAATGCATAGGGTTGAAATCCCCATCGAGAGGAGAAGCCTGAAGGTGCCATGGAAGATTTACCAGAGTCATTCAGGAAACATGAGGCAAATCTAAGGCTCAAAGCGCATCACCACAGCCACAGCGGAGCATGCCTCTGCCTTCCCCTTAGGTCTTCTTGCAGGGCTCCAGCAGCAGATGTGTTTTAAAATTCCTTCTGCCACTAAGCAAACTTCCCATTCCCTCATATGGGGGGATTGTTCTTGACCCCAACCATGAGACCACATGCCAGTTCTAATGAACTTTTCGTATCTCCATGGTCCACTTATTGCCTAGTCAATCCAAGACTGTGGGGAGGTCTTTGGAGGCTTTCCAACCTTGACTGTGGCTAATGTGATACAGTGACAGTAGTGGTCTTGCTCCAAGCAGCAGGTTGGGCCACAGACTATTGAAGGCCTTTCCCAACAACACGGAACTTCTCTTCCATGCCTCTACGCTGCCTTTATGTCTTCCTACAAGTTACTGGGCACATCAGCAGTTGGCCTTTTCCAACAAAACCTCAAGAACCATTTTCCTTCCCCAGGAGCAGCTCTCCCTGTCAGAACTTGGTTCGTAAGGGCCTAAGGGGACATTGACACCATGTCTCCCGTGCCTATCAAGCCTTCTCCAGCAATTGCTAGGACCATCCAGACAGGCAGGGCTGAGTCACAGCAGCCCTTACAGAATGCGCTCAATAGGAGGAGCATGCAGGTCTGAGCTAGGGGAACCTCATGCCCAAGGAGGATGGGTATGAGCGGCACTCAGCTGTCGCACAGGCTCCTTTCCCGTGCTTCAGGTGAGAGTTCCAGCTTCACATGCTCCTGTGCTGCTCCGTGTGCTGTGCCATGCAGACAGGGATATGCACAGTCTAAACCCACTGTCCTGTGGCCCCTCTCTTTCACATGCAGGGATGTGGGTGGTTCCATCGCACCCTGCAGTGACTCAGACACCCCCAGTCCTCCATGCAACCAGAGACACGAGTGTTCCATGCCCATGTGTGCCCCAAGCAGGCAGGGACACCAGCTGGCCCTGGCCCCTTGGTCCCCCATGTAGATGGGAACATGTCCCCCCATCTCACCCTGTGCCTTGTACCCAAGCAGATGGGGACACCGGTAGCACAGGACTCTGGTTCCTGTTCCCATCATGATCCCATCCCACCCTGTCCATCCCACAGCAAACAAACGTGCGGCCCGATCCCTTCCACCGCCGCACTTAGGGCCCCGTTCCCAGCTTGTGTCCCAAGACGGCTGCAGCACGGACCCCTGCCCCCTCCACTGGCGACAACGCGCGCAGCCCAACCCCGCCGCAGGCAGCCCCGTGTGTAGCCCCAGCTCCCAGCTCCCTGCCGGAGGGAAGCGGGACACGCGTGGCCGCGGTCCCCCAGACCCACCCGCTGCGCACGCAAGCGGGGACCCGCGCGGCCGCTGCGCTCACCGATGCGGCGGTGCGGAGGGGCCGTGCGGCGGTGCTGCAGTGTGGGGCCGTTCAGCGGTGCAGGGGGGCTGTGCCATGGGGCTGTGCGACGGGGCGGGCCCGCCAGGATTTACATAGGGCTCCGCACCCACCGCCGCCTACAAGAGCGCGGGAGGGGACGGCGCCGACTGAGCCCCGCTGCTGCCGCTGCCACCGCCAGCAGGTAGGTAGGTAAGTAAGTAAGTAAGCAAGCAAGCAAGCAAGCAAGCAAGCAGGTAGGGTAGGTAAGTAGGTACATAGGGATAGATAGATGATAGCTAGCTAGATAGCTAGATAGATATGTAGGTAGAAAACTAGATAGGAAGTTAGGTAGGTAGGAAGGTGGGTAGGCAGGAACGTAGGAAGGTGGGTAGGTAGGAAGGTAGGTAGGAAGGAAGGTGGGTAGACGGAAGGAAAGGGCTGCTGCCCCCAACACTGTCCTGCCTGTGCCCCACTGCTCACCCACTGCTGAGGAAAGCAGACCACGGATGCTGCCCACCTGGCTGGAGGGGTGCCAGGCAAGGGTGGGAGGAGAGGGTACATCCCCACCTTGAGTTGACCTGGCTGCTTTTCCTATCCCGATTTGACCTTCTCACAGGAGCAGGAAAATGCAGGGAAATCCACTCCCTCCCTTCCCCCCGCTGCCTCATCCCTAAATTCTAGCTCTGATCATTTAGTTTCCATGGGATTTCCCTTTTTCAATTGAAAATACCTATCTGCAGCCCTGAGCAACCCATCCAGGACTGCTGTTGCAAGGAGGTTTTGGCTGGGCACTTCCAAAAGATCATTTCCAGTTTGGTTCATTCTGGGGCAGGAAAATAGGGTTTCTGTAAGGAGAAACTTCCTGCCTCCTTTCCTTTCTCTCCTGCCAGTCCAGGATATTTTAAACAAAAGGGAAGTTGTCCATTTCTGCTAAAATACTCATCCTTCCTTGAAGATGTCTCTAGTCTTTTCCCTCTCCATACACTGCAAGAGAAAAAAGCACAGGACTTCTAGGGCCACAGACACGCTTCTGCATGGAGGCTGCTTTCCAAGGTGCAACAGCTTCACTTTCTCCTGTCCTGAGCTGCAGCCACCAGTTTTCTACTTTAAAGCTGCAAAAATGCCAAGGAGCTGGTCTTCTGTGCAGGCTAATCTAGCAAGAAAGATGGGCAGACAGAAAAGGAAAGGGTTGTTTCCCTGGATATTCTCTATAAAACTGTTCCCAGCAGATGCAGAGTATAGAGGAAATGCCAACATCCCTTGATATTGTTTGAAAGTTAAATTTAGATTTAACAAGGCAACATTTTCCATGTTATGTTCTGGGCTTTCAATTGTTGACCTGTTTAAAGCTGCAGAGTGAACACAGGCTTGGAAATCAGTCCTGCCCTCATTGCTTCTCATAGGAAATTTGTCCAAAGATATAATAAACCTGATGGAATTCAAGTGATTGAGATTTAACTTGTCTTACGTTAAGCTGTTCATTTATTTCTTTTCTTACAGCCACTCAGACAGTGTTATGGGCATGTTTGCTGGGCTCAGGACCTCAGAGGTGGACTTCAGCCTGACAGTATAGTATTGGGAATCAATTCCAGTCTTGCTTGCCAGGTAATCAGAGCAGGTATGGCTCTTGAAAGCTGCCTTTCTCTCGGCCTGGCTTTCCAGGGAAATAGCCCAAAACAGATACAGCAAAATGGCCCAGAACAAGATTTGTAAATAGACATGACATCTTTGCTAGTCCAGAGAAGAGAGTAAATAAAAGGTCAGGTCCAGACTGGTTGTGAGCCAGTCTCTATTAAACTGATTGCTGTAATGATCTGGGTGACTGAACAGAGAATTATTCTGAAAGCAAATATTGATTTATGCTTTGAAAGCTGCCCAGGTAAATGGTGTTATGATATTTATTGTAATCCCTACCCACTTCTAGGGATTTGGGACCCGCTTTTTTTGTGGCTGAATTGCTATGGGTTGTATCTTACCTAAAATTACAATGAATACCTTTTTCAGAAAATGAGAATTGACGCAACTCCTCCATGCGGGGACAGAATGAAATTGTATTGGGTCATGACTCATATTAGCTTTGGCATTCCCTGACTTTCAACAGTTTCCTGGGGTAGTTACATGCAGAGATGCCATTAAATAAGCAAAACAAAAGGACTAAGCATGTAATCAGTTTTGGTAGAAAAGATCTAAACCAGAAATGGGGGGAGCTCTGTAACTGCCAGAACTATAGTGTCAGTGGGAGCACAAAGCTGCCAATGGGAATTACACACTTAATTATCTCTGTTTCCTTTAACCTCCTGATGTTTGTATGTTCCTTGGACCCACACCCCAGCTCTAGGGGTTGCTTCTGGCTCCTTCCCAGGTTGTACTTTGCAGCTCCTGGGGAAAAGCCTTGAGGAGAGGGCATGGAAAAGGGGGTGGGGTGTCACATTTCCTTGTCCCTCTGGGGAGTTCTGAGGTGGACCTCAGTTGTTCTAGAACTGAGCCACCACAGGCTCAAGGCAGTGGGCAGGCCAGTGCAGGATGCCCGCTGCCACCGCCTCTCTCCCGCAGGCTCCTGGAAGTGCAGAATGACTCTCCTTAATGGCGTGTACCCCTTCTACCTGCTGCAGAGAAAAGCCTCCATGTTTGATGTCAGCACCATCATAGTGATCGTGGTCTTCCTAACATTTGCTTGCAGCTTCCTGCTCATTATCCCAGGCATCCGCGGACGGGTGGTGCGTGACCCCTCTTCCTGGACATAAGCATCTGCTCCCCCCTTCCTGGGTGCTGGGACTCTCCTGGCTGGTTTGGGGTGAGCCGGGGCTGTTCCTTCCTGCCTGATGTCCTATGTCCTGTGTCCCCTCAGAGGCTGTACTGGACTCTCCGGGTTCTCTTCAGCCTCATCATGGGAGTGGTAATCGTCAGTAAGTGCTGCTCATCCCACGGGGGGTGGGCTTGGGGCAGGAATAAACCCTGGGCAGGGTCTGTGCCTGGGACATGCGAGCTGGTGGTCACAGCTAAGGCTGGTTGCAGGGGCTACCCTACACCTACCCTGCAAAGCTGTCACACAGCTTCCCCAAAGGGCTTCCCCATCCCTGGCACCTGGAGGTGCTGTGGTCACTCCTGAATCGAGAGGGAGCTTTGTTGGCTGTAACTTCACCACGGAGGTGGAACAGCCCCAGCTCTGGTGGGCTGCACAGCCCCATGTTCCTCTGGCCATACAAGCTGAGTGAGCACGGCTGAGCAGCTCAGAGTGCGGCCAGCTATGCTTGGAGGCTGAGAGGATCCTTGTGATGTGAAGAGAGCAGGTTGAAATAAAACACAGGTGGGGGGGGGAGTTGGGGGGGGGGGGGGCAGGGGAGCAGTAAAAGACCTTCCACAGAGCAAGGCAGGAGGGAGGAGATGGAGGAGATTATTTGATTTAGTATAAACCAGGAAATCTCTTGTAATAAATGGCACTGGCGGTGGAAACCAGGCTGTGGGATTTCCGACTCAGGGCGTGTAAGTGGAAGATGTGCTACGGAGACAGAAGGTGCCAGGCGGGGAAAGCAACCAGCCCTGGCCCTAAACCAAAGAAATTCTGCTGTGAAGGACAAGGCAGATCATAAGACTGCTTGGTGAGGGATCACGAAGTACAACCTAAATGATGCAGTCCTGGTATGACCAGGCAACAGAAGTAGATAGAAGTGTGACCAGCCGTGGGACTCGGCCAGGTGACGCATGGTCCAGCACGCGGTGCTCTCCATCCACTGAGGGATGTCCATGTGCTGGGAGATGCCACCAGAGCCACCCAGGAACGTGATGCCAGGCTGGAAACGGCAGAGTTTGGAGATCAGGGCTTGCTCCACACCTTTAGGCAGCCCAGCCCTGGAGAACCCTCCAGCACCACTCCTGTTACAAGGATGCAGCCAGTAGCTGCTTGGGCACACAGGAGGAATTCATTGTTTTAAAGCTGGCGTCCAGGTTTCTGTTTGGCAGCAGCAGGGCATGCTCAACCCTGCAGCTAGAAAATGTTCCTGCAGAGCTGCTACTGGATCAGTGCCCCCATAAGTTGATTCAGCACCTGAGCTCACTTTTGGGTAGGTTTTCTTGTTCAGCCTGAGTTTAAATCATTTCCTTCACTTTCAGTTCTTTTCAGTGCTGGAAAATGAAGCCCACTGCAAAGTGAGAGTGTTTCTGGAAAGGGTATTTTGTGACAAAACATCTATACCTGAAATGCTCCAAACTTTCCTTGTTCCCCAGCTGAAATGGCTGTCAGAGCTGTGACGGCACTCACCACCCCCCTCGCCCCCTCCGTTTGACAGGGATCTTCTCACTATTCACTCGTAGTGCAATCAGACAGCTTAATACTTGGAACGAAACTCACCTGTTCCCAAGGCTGAGCAACGGGCTCGTTTCAGAGGCCTGTCCCAGGGACTGCGGTGCTCATCGTGGTGGGGAGCTTGCAGGGAAGTCCTGGAGAGGATGTCCAAGGAGGAATCAGGTCACGGGGTTCGTCCCTGGGGATCTGAGCTCTCCCGCTCCCGGATGGAGGGAGTGGATGATCAGCAAGGGAAGGACAGGAGCTCTGCCAGGGCGTGGGAGCTGGTTGAGGCACGTCCTGGCGGCCGAGTCAGCAATCCTGCCCTCCTCACCCTCCCTTGCAGTGCGGCGGTGGGAACACTGTGTCTGCTCCTTGATGATTCCCCCCTGAGGCACGGCAAAGCCCGAGACCAGCCCCGCTTTAACCCCAGCTTTGCTCTTCCTGGCAGCTGTGCAGTTCACGGGAGACTGGGAGACCGGCTGGGTGAGGGCAAACACCTCCTACAAGTCCTTCAGCCCAGCGCTGGTGAGCGCGGACATCGGGCTGGGCATTGGCCTGGTGGGGGTGAACATCTCTCTCAGGGGTGAGTCTGGTGTCTCCATCTGCAGCTCTGATGGCCCCAGGAGGTCTGGACACCCTTGGTCGGCAGGCTTCTGAGTCCTGCTGTCCCTGGGGTGCCCGTGCTCCTGACTGGCAGCACCCTGGATGCTGGGACACAGCAGGACCTTGCTCTTCTCCCTCCACCAGGAAACCCAGTGAAACAGGTCAATGAGACCATCAACTACAATGAGCACTTTCCCTGGAGCTTCAATGCAGACTATGACCAGAGCTACAGCCAAGGACTGGAGAGGGGGCTGCCCAGACCCATCCTCTATGTGGCGGAGAAGTTCACTACACGAAGCCCCTGCAGCATGCAGAGGCAGTACCGCATCTCCAGCCACTACGCATCGGCCACTCTCTGGTGAGCCTTCCTCCCCTGGAGCAGGCAGGGGAAATTCAAGGATGTGGGAAGGGCTTTGCTGACTTGTCCTTAGGCCTCTGAGATGGATGATTTCACACTGCCAGGAGGAATGCTATGGGCAGGGAGGGACCTCTGCGAGGTTTGTTGTCAAACCAGTGACACTGTGGGCACCTTGGGGTGAGCAGATAGGAGGTCCTGGTTCTCTCTGCTGGTCAGCTCCATGACAGCTGGGCACAGAAGAGAGGAATGTGGTGTAGATCCTTGCCATGATGCAGTGATGACAGCAGGGGTCCATCCCCATGGATGCAATCGGAGCTGCTGTCCTCAGTGGCCATGGGGACAGGAGTATGAGCAGAACTCTCCCATTCCCATCTGTGAGGGTATGTGATATCTGGGAGTGGGACCAATGAGGAACAGCTGATAATGCTGTTATTTTGGGGCCAATCTCAACTCCTCAGGAGGAACTGCTGAGCAGCAACATGATTCTGCTCACTTGGACTGAGGGAGAGCTGGTCCACAGGACTAGGAGATGGTCCCCTCTACCATAGGTAGTGGAGGGCAAGGGCCATTGTAGTGCCATTCCCCCTCCTCTGGGTTTGACAGCAGGGATGAGGAAGCTAGGAAAGGGGCCTGGCAATGCCATGGAGCAAGAGCTCCTGGCCCATAGCTGAAGGCTTCCCCTGTCACCCAGACCTTCAGCCAAGTCCAGAGCTGCTGCAAATGTCTTGTGCCTGCTTCTGCAATCATCCCAGACTGGTGAGCTACTCTCTATGGTCTGCATGCCCCACACATGGAAGGACAGGGAGCTGAGATGGTCTAGATACACTCAGTGGGCTACTGTGGCCTCTCTGCGGCTGGCATGGTCTCTGAGCTGAGCAATGGGAAGAAATCCTTGCTTCTGACTGCTGGATGTAGCAGCATGAGCATTGCACATCTGCTTGCTCAGCCTGAGAGGCTCAAGATCACTGCAGCGTGCCACAGAGCTTCTGGGCCTCATACAGTGCAACCAGGAGCCCAGATTCCTCCTGCTGCATGGAAATCTTCACACAGAGCATCCTAGCAAGTGGCACTTGCACAACTAATGCACTGGTCTTCTCTTGTCTCCAGGGTGGCCTTTTGCACTTGGCTCATCTCCAACATGCTCTTTTCTATGCCTGTCCTAGTCTATGGAGGCTACATGCTCCTCGTTACAGGGGCCTTCATGATCTTTTCGCTGCTGTCATTCTCCACTGTGGGAAACTCCACGATGTGCCTGATCCAGTTTGGAGCTGCAACCCTGCACACAGGCTATGGAGGATCCTTCTGGATCACGCTGGTGATTGGTAAGGACAGCAAGCTACATCAGCGCACAGCACCTTGTCTCTGGGTGTGCCAGAGTCCCAGTGCTTTCACTCCAGTAATGGAGGTGAGCGAGTTTGGGGATTGCAGCCCACCAGAGCCCCAGCCTGGGCCTTGGCAAAACAGATCCTGGCAGAGATGGGGACAGGGCTGGCAGCTGGGGGAACACCATCCCCATCGCAAGAGTGGTGGAGGGAGTTTTAGTCCCTGAGGTGCAGTAAAAAAAAGATGAGCATCACTTGCTTGGGTTTTAAGATACTTAGCATAGCAGCTGAAGCTACCTCATGCAGTAGAAGGCCATCTTCCATAGGAGAAGGCGTTGTCCCCTGGCAGGGGAGCATCAAAGGAGGGCTACAGGGGGGAGTGTGCTGGGGTTGACAGGAATGTTCTTAGAGAGCGTGTCTTCCAGGCTTGCTCTGTTTTGTGGCTGGGATCAGTGTTGTCACACTGCACTACTGCAACTTGGACCTCCTGAAAACTTTCTTTGATCTCCATGAGGACAAAGCAGAAGAGTTCCAAGAGATGACTGAAGCATAGATCAACTTTCATTTTGTGAACTGGGGACTATCTCCTTCTCAGCCCTCCAAACTCAACCCTAACATCACCTAGAAGAACATTTTTTCACTCATTCCCTGAAGTGGACCTGAAAGGGCAGAGCACAAACACTTCTTGATGTCCCCAGAGACCCATTTTTCCATCCAACTGCCTTTGAAGAGTGCATGGATCTGTGTTGGGATGGGTACTTGCTAAGAAGTGCCTTTGCAGACTGTGACTCCCTGACCATGCCCTCTGGAAAGGGCAGGCTTTGCAGGGAGCCAGCAGGCTGCCGTTGGAGCAGCTCCCAGCTCCGGTGGCTCGAGCTGCACACTCGTCTGGGGATCTCTGTTCTAACAGAAATGCCCTTCCTGGTCCATCCCTGGCACACCTTTGTGCAGTGATGCTCTGATAGGCAGTTCTCACCCCAGAAACTGAGCTCACTGGTGCTTACGGGGAGCACCTGCAATTCAAAAAGCTGGTGATTAAATCCTCTCATTTCTTTCCCAAGCACTGACACTTAGTGTAGACCTTCAGGCCTACCCAGGAAGGCCAGGCAAAGACCTAAAGGCCATAAGGCTGGATGCTGCATGAGCTAGAATAAAACAAACGCTCCAGAAGTAAAGACTGAGTGAACATGCCATGGAGTTTGCCCATGAGGAATGAGGTGATGTGGTTATTTTCACTTTCCAACTTGGGCTTTCTTAGGTAACACTTGTAGTCTAGTGTGGGCCAAAAAGATGCGACAGGAAAGGAAGGAGACGGAAGAATGACACTGCCCCTGTGCAACTGGAGCACACTTGAGCCGGCTGGGCTCACCACAAAATGTAAGACAAGGCCAGGAGTCAAATCAAGGGGAGAAATGAAGTGCATCAAGGTGCTTTATTAGAAACAGAAGATGGGGTCCTAACCCACCTGCCTGATGAAGTCTCCATGGCTGGTACAAAGATCTCCATATCTGAATGCTGGAGACCTGGGCCACTTCAGTCCAATTAATTGTAAAGGACCTAATTGCAGTACTTTGACTCTTTTCTTTCTGAGAAAAGACCATCACTGTTAAGTTACTTATTTCTTTCACGCGCCATTTGTGTTGCACTAATGTGATTTCTTATGGGCATGAGTTATTATTTTCAATTAAACTTCATTAAAAACCCACTCCTTTGGAATACTTTGGGCATTCTGGGAGGCTGGTTTCTCAAGTGGGGTTGTGAGGCTTGGCTCATCCTGAGTCCCCCTCAGACACATCCCTCCCATGGGGGAAGCTGCCCAGGCAGAGGTATCCCCAAGGAGGGATGAGGCTCGTTGAAACCCTTAAGGTAAAACCCTTTTATTGGGGAGCAGTGCACTGTAGGATGTAGGAGAGTTTCAAAAGGACTTTAACTAGCCTAGTAGCAGGACAGAAGCTGTAAGATTAAACCAACAAAATTCCCTCGGGAAAAGGAGGATCCTTTCTCGAGTCTTTCTTGCGTCCAAAAGCAAGCCATGTACAGAGGCATTGTGGGGAGATGCTACAACCAACCACAAGTTATTGGGGCTGGTGTGGGACAGATCCTGTCCCCTGAGAGCACAGGAGGCTGGGAGGCCAGCTCTTTCTGCCACTGCATCTGGGACTCTCCAACCTCACCTCCTGCTTTTAGAAATGATTCCCCCCAGTAGCATCCTCACCAGAGGGAAAGCTTTGTCCTGTTGCATCAGACATACAGGGCCCTGAATCCAAATCAACAGAACAAACAAAATTCAATCTGTTTGAAGCACAGAGACATCAGACTTCTGTGTGCCTTGCCCACTTCCTAGCAAACACAGGACAGCTGGGATTTCTGCAGCACAGCTTGCATGGGGCCAACCGAGCAGAGGCAATGACATGAGGGGGGATGCAGAGACCCCTTTACACATTGTGTCTTGTGAAGAACAGGGGGTCACAGAATCACAGAATCCCAGGGTCGTTTGGGTTGGATGGGACCTTAAAGCTCACCCAGTTTGAACCCCTGCCATGGGCAGGGACACCTTCCACTAGAGCAGCTTGCTCCAAGCCCCATCCAGCCTGCCCTTAAACACTGCCAGGACAACAGGGGCAGGCTTTGTCATGGGGCTGGCACCCCGCATGTTGAAGACTTCTTTCCTTGTCACCACAGGGAGGAGCACACATGACGGCCATTGCTCAGGGATGATTATGTTCCTCACTACATGCTGTCATAGTAGCTTCTTCACATGCACCATAAGAGTTGTGGCTGTGCGGCCCCTGTGTTATGTTGCTGCAGGCCCTAGCTCCTCCATCCACCTCAGCTCCAGGCTCAGTGTCCTGGCTGGACTGAGCTTTTCTTGGATAAGAAGATATAAAATAATTGACATTGAATCCCTGGCTCTTGGTCCAGGCTGCTTCTGGCCGCACAGTGTGCAGGGAATCTGGAGTCCAACCAGACAGCCAGTGCCAGCAGTGGAGCAAACTCAGAAATTACAGCCTGGGGCTCTGCAAGGATGGTGGTCCCCACTCCTGGAGGCACTCATTGCACCAGGGCATGCAGAGCTGCCAGCTCCCCTGCTCCAGGCTTGGATGCCAGGGGAACATGTCAGAAAAGGCAGAAGTTTATGAGGGCTGAATTTCAGTTCAATTAAGTGTTCAAGGCAATTCAGGCAGTGTTCAAGGCCAGGTTGGACAGAGCCTTGGGTGACATGGTCTAGTGTGAAGTGTCCCTGCCCATGGCAGGGGCTTGGAACTGGATGATCTTAAGGTCCTTTCCAACCCAAACCATTCTATGATTCTATGAAATAAAAGGGGTTTGTTGCACCTTGATCTAGTCCATCTGCAGGCTGAAGCATCACCTCATAGATGCCATTGGGAACATCCAAGTTGTTCAGTTCCAACCTATTCTTAAATGCTTGTTGAGTCCTGTAGGCCCTCTAGGTTGAATGCTCTTCTATCTAGAATGGGATAGGGCAGGATGCCATATCTGAGCACACCGTGCCTCACTGTGGTCCCTCTGCAAACTTCTCTGCTGAGCTGGGTATTGCTCCCATCAAGCCTTCCACCTGCCCAGGGTCATTCCAGGAGCTAAAGCTTTCCTATATAACCCCTGTTTGTTTTCCTGGGGGTGCTCTGTTACCCTATTTACTGTGTGTTGACTTGCCTGTATTGCACTGTGCCTACTAGCCATGGTCAGATACCCCATATGGGACCAAAACTGGCCTCTGCCTTTGCCTTGGCCTTCTTTCCTTCCCTATGGCTGCCATGTCACAGTAACAGAGCATCCCCAGCCAGCCACCCCTCAGAGGGACACCTCTGTCAACAGACAAGAGAAAGACCAGGTTCAATTTTTTTATTGAGATAGATAGAGGGGAAAATAAGTGAGCAAACACCAAACAAACAAAAATGTTGCAAAACCTGCACAGAGTTAAAGGGGTGCAAACCTGAAACATTCTTCCTCCCCTCCCTCCCAGGCTGGGTGTGATGCTCACCTCTTGTTAAGCGATTAGAGCCACTCCTGGGGCACCACAGCACTTCCATTCCCATCTCCTCCTCTCCTTCCCTCCCACCAAAATCTTTTCCTCCGTTCGGAGGGTTACGAGAGCACCAACAACTCACAGGCTGCTCACAGGCTGGTGGCTGTGGTTTAGGGTGTTTATAAGCACTGTAAGAAGCAGGAGCCAACCAATCAACTCCCTGACTGTGCCATTTCCAGCCCAGTGTACAGCCCAGCACATCTTGGACTTGCATCGAACTTGAGCTGTGGGGTGTCAGTATGGGACTGAAATCCACGAGTCCTCCAAGGTCTGGTGCCTCCAGCATTGTGAGAAATTGTGGGCCTCCTTGCCAAACTGCTCTCCAACCAAGACCAGGTACAGGGCATCCTGGAGAGCACAGCTCCCCTCACTCTTCCTGGCCACTGCTGGAAAGACCATCCCTGAGCAGAGGGGACTTCTTGGGGACCTTCAGGGTGGGGATGCTGTTGCAGGGGCTCTACTCCTTTCATTCATATCTATTCATCTGCAGCTATTTGGTTTCTCCCGTTTGCTCTTGTTCAGTGTCTGCTTTAGGACTCTTAAGGTTTGTTGGGGATGGACTAAGGGGAAGGGCAGTAGCCCGGTGCCTGTAACTGGACAATCAGGGATGGGGCATGGATTGTCTCTACCCCAAAACCTTTTCCAGCTGCTGGTGAGTAAAACAACAAAACATTGAAAAAAAATTAAGAAAAAAGAGAGGGCAAGTTGCCATATTTGAGACCCTTTTCCAGGGTTGGATGTTCTCATTACCGGGCTCTTATGTGTCTTCCCACCCATGCTTCTGGTGTAGTTGGACAGGAGAGTGGATTCAGAAGGGATGTCCTCGGGCTTTGCCCTTACTGCTGGGTGGCTGTCACCTCGCAAAGCTCACTCAGGGAGACCATCAGCATGTCCTGTGCAGAGGAGCTGGGCTCGGCAGGCAGGTAAGGCTTGTCCCACCCCTCCTCTTCTCCCTTTCTCTCGTCCAGGTTAAAGACAAGCTTCAGTTTCTCTGGCTGCACAGAATTGAAGATGATAACACCCAGCCCCAGCAGCAGGCACAGCAGCCCTGCAATACACAGCATGGGGAGACACGTTAGCACCTCTGCCCTGCTGTGTCCCAGCCCCATCCAGATCCAGATCTGGGGTTGGAGGCCAATGGCACATGGCATCAGCCAGGAGGCCAAGGGAAGGTGTTGCTTTCACCTCCACATGTGGACTCTGCCATCAGTCTGGGCACCACAGCACAAAAGAGAATCATAGAATGATAGAATCAACTAGGTTGGAAAAAACTTCTAAGATCATCAAGTCCAACCATTACCCCACCACTGCCAAGACCACCACTAACCCATGTCTCTGAAGAAATTATCCCTATTAACAGGTGGAGAAACTAAAGGCAAAGAGAATTACCAAACACGATTCCTCTACAAAATGACCTCAGAATAGTCTGGCCCTACTTAAGTACTAATCTTATGTGTCCTAGTGATTGGTTTTACACAGCTACCAGATAACTTGGAAGTTACTTTGACAAAGTTCCTTCTTTATCTGAAAGGGCTGAGATTATAACAGACATTTCAGTGTCTGTCAGCCTGTACTGCTCTGCTCCCTCTGGCATTTCCATGGATTTTCTGGTTCGATATATGACACTAGACAATATAATTATTTTCTTCACAATTCCTTGAAAAGAAGAGTTATTTCTTTATCTAGCTCTATTGTTTATCATTTATTCTTTGGATGCAGCCTATCTGGCTTCAAAACTTCACAAACTTTCTCAATTTCTATTTCAGTACTTCTAGCAGAAGACTCAGTAAGAATCTCGTGATTAGGGTCTGATATAAAGTTCCAAGTGCTTCTGATGGGATCTAGATGTTATGCCTTCATGAGAGGTACCAAAAAAGTCAATGAACTTGGCAAATGACTGAGAGAGTTGGGTCTGGAGCTCAGCAGGTATGGGGAAAGGCTTGAGGAGCTGGGTTTGTTTAGCCTGAAAAAGAGGAGCCTTGAAGGGGATGTAATCGCCACCTTCTCCTACTGACAAAGGGCCACTCCCCTTCTCGGAGGCGCACAGTTGTAACATGGGAAATTCCACTTTGAGAAAAGGAAACATGCCCATGAGTGGGACCATGTGGGGCAGGTCCTGAGAGGCAGAGGGGGTCTCTAGCCATGTGGACAAACACCATCAGACTGAACAAGGCTGATACGGCTTTACGGTTAGCACTGCTCTGGGCAAGGGCTGGGAGAGAGACCCGCAAGGGTGCTTCCAGGCCAGGTCTTTCCCTGACTCTGAGTTCTGACTTTCACAGCACCCCATTGGGCACACCTCCATGCAGATAACTTTGGCCATTAGGGTGTCGTGGCTGCTCAGCTCTTTTTCTCCCAGTCTTGATGATGTTATGCTGAATTCGTGTATTCCATTGGAAAAAAAAATCAAAATCAAAACAAAGTAAAACACAATTTTCTTCAATCAGCCATGGAGACAGAAGGGATGAGGTGCTGCTGAAGCATCACTGAGCATCATTGCTGCAGGGATGGAGAATAAAAACCCCAGGAGCAAGCTGAGCACTCACCTGTCGCTAATGTCAGCCAAAAGGATCCTCCATAGTCTGTTTTCAAGGCAGCTGTGCCAAACCGGATGGGGCACTTAGCGGTGCTCCGTGCAGTGAAGAAGAAGAGCAGTGAGAAGAGCATCAGTGCGGCAGTGAGCAGAAGCATGTAGCCACCATAGAGCAGGATGGGCATGGAGAACAACAGGATGGAAACGAGCCATGTGCAAAAGGCCATCCTGAAAAAGGACCACAAAACCGAGCAGAAGGTGTCATGCTTGGAACCTCTTCTGAGGGTCTCCTCTCCACGTCCTAATGGAAAGATACTGCCCTAGGAAACCTGCTCTAGCTGGTCCCGCTTGAGCAAGTAGGCTGGACGGACTGATCTAAGGAGGTCCCTTCCAACCCGAACAATCCCATAATTACATGAATGGTGGAGCTGCAGAACAGGTCCCACAGTGCAGGAGAAGGATCTCCATGCCTGGGGACATCCAGTACTGAAGTTCACAAAGCCCTAAGCACCTTGATACGGCTTTGACATGAGCCCTGTTTTGGGTAGTGGGGCTGAAGACCTCTAGAGGTCTTTCTTTCTCATTCTCTGACTCTTGTGGTCCTCCACAAGTGGCTGCTCCCAGGCAGTTCTCACCTGTTCAAAGGGAGAATGGCAACAAGGGAGGCCTTTGTTTGGAGAACCACACAAGGAACCATGCCCACATCTGATTCAGCACTTGGAGGGAGCCCAGCTGCCAGCCCTGCCCTGTGCATGGGGTTTGGCTTTAGCTCACTGGGGAGGTGACCCTAACAAATGTTCTGATTCCAAAAATAATAATGAAAAATAAGTTTACATCAACATCACTGCCTTGAAATGCTCCTTCTCAATGGCAGGAAGGTTTGGGCAGGGCTAGTTGTTTTTCTTGGAAGTAAAAAAGGAGATGTGGCAGGGACCTGGAGCCTATGTCTAGAGGGAGAATTGTAGGACACACTCTCACCTGCAGTGCCTTTCCCACGACCTCTGAGACACATGTGAATGCTCTGAGACTCCGTGATGACAACACACACAAGAGCTCTCAGCTCAATGCCACAAGACAGCCTCTGAGCACACGCTTGATGGTCTGTCCTGCTCCCCACCAGCAGGTCTCATGCCATCTTTGGGATGTAAGAGGAAATCCCCTCAACCCATCTTACTAAGATTTTGCATCTTCCTTAGGAGAGGACTTTGCACCCTACACAATTGCATCTGCTTTCCTTTAAATGAGGAATAATTTTTCTCCAACTGCAATTTTGCACATCAGGCAAGAGGACACAGAAGAGGACTCTGGGGAGACAGGCAGTGCAGGAAGCATCCCTGATTCTGCAAAATGGTGGGTGACAGAGACCAGCCAAGGATTTGACATGGCCTTACAGGGAAGAGGGTGGCTCTATCAAGCTCCCTGTGCTCTACCTGGTTCTTTCCACCTCCCCAGTGAGCAGATATAGAGCTGACCTCTTGCTCTGAATTACCACAGTGTGAGGGAGGCGTAGTGGCTGGAGATGCGGTACTGCCTGTGCACGCCGCAGGGGCTTTGGGAGGTGAACTTCTCTGCCACGTAGAGGATGGGACTGGGGAGCCCCTTCTCCAGGCCTTCATCATAGCTGTGATCGTAGTCTGCATCGAAGCTCCAGGCAAAGTGCTCATTGTAGCTGATGGTCTCATTGAGCTGATGCACTGGGTTTCCTGCCAGATAATGAAGACTAAGGACCTTTCTCAGCCTTGGAGGCAGCTCCAAGACTTCCTGGTGTGGGACCTCAAGGGCCCACAGCCCCGTTACCCAGGTGCATGGCTGTCAGACTTGCACCCAATCCTCTCCTGGTGTGAAATGCACTCACCCACCAGTGTGACATTCACCCCCGCCAGGCCAATGTGCAGCCCAATGTCCACGTTTACCAGGGCATGGCTGAAGGACTTGTAGGAGGTGTTTGCTGTCACCCAGCCGGTCTCCCAGTCCTTGGTGAACTGTATGGCTGTGAAAAGTTAGTTATAGTAAGTTATAGTCTGGTGGTGAGACACCTAGTGCTAGAAGCACCTGCCATGATGGCCACCATAGCCTGAACATTATCTACCCCATCCCAAGGAACAGGCCTGGGCTATAAGCCCCAAGGAGCCTTATATGTCCTTCCCCAATATCAACCCAGACCCATGGCCCTGGTATCCCTGTTTGGGTTGGTTTCTCCCCAGACCCAGTGCATTCTGCAGTCCTAGAGGCAATAGGTCTGATGTGTGGGCACTGGCTAGGAACTGGTCCTCATGAAAGCACCTCCCAGTTTGTCTGGCTCTTGGCAGTTTGTGGTGGGCTTCCAGTGACTGCAAGGGATTGCATACTGCAAGCCTTCAGAGACGAGACAGGTGCAGCTCCCCCAGTTTGCTGGAGCCAGGTCCCAGGCATATATGGGCACCTCTCTTCCCCATAAACTCATCCTGTGGCTGGAGCTGGTGCTTGGCTGCTCTGTTCACCCTCCCTTGCCTTGTTCCTCATCCCGTGTCTCGAGCATCCCTGAGCTTCCCCCCGCAGGACTCTGGTACTCACTGAGGACCACCGCTCCCACGAAGAGACCCATCACCACCCGCAGGAACCAGAAGAGTCGCTGCAAGGGGTGAACAGGGAGAGGGACAGGTCTCAGTCAGATTGTGCCACAGGGACCTGAGCACCAAGCGTGTCATTTAGGAATGCCAGACAGTGAGAAACAGGCTTGTTCCTCCCCTCGGAATCACTTCACAGGCTCTGCAAGCGGGTGGCATCAGGGACACACGTGGTTGGGGGATCCCTGCCTTTGGGTATGGGAGGCAGCTGGGAGATCCAGGCAGAGAAAGAAGGTCAAAACCAGCCCATTTGGGAAAGTCATGCTGTCCCCTTTACTGCGAAGGAGGATGGAGACACTCCTGTTAATAGTCCTGAGCTGGGATTTCCACACTTTCCCAAGCCTCATGTGTTTAGGTGTGCTGGCAGCTGGCCACATCTGGAGACAAAAGCAGTTGCTGTGGGTTCTCAGTGTGTTCCCTGGGGGAAGCCATCTCTCGGCCAGCCTCACTGCTGGGACAAGCATGTGACAAGCATGTAGCATGCAAGAGCCTGTTGGCCACACAGAGCCCTGTGAGCAGTGCTGGGGCACACACAGTGCATATTTCCTTCTTTTACTCAGGTTTTGGGGAAAATGGAGCAAAGTCTTTGAGCCTCACCCTATTTTTCCACTTTTGTGAAGTCACCCAGGCTTGCTCCCAGTGAAATCCAGACAAGTGCAGATCTGGGTGCCTTGTAAATGTTGGTTGGATTTTAGTGGCTCTAGTATGGGGGTACATGCTGGGTTGGGGTGGGCTGGAGCTCACCCCCATGGCTTGCTAGAGATCCCAAAGGCCTGGACATGAACCTATGGGCATGTTTGCTCCCCGAGTCTGTTTTTGTGTCTGGGAAAGAGGAGGCATCTGGGATGCACAGGGCAGGGACCACATGGCTGAGCTCCCCCTGCCCTTTCACTTACCCCCCTGCCCCGGATCCCTGGCAGGATGATGATGAAAGTGGCCAACATGGAGAGGAAGATGGAGACAATGACGGCCCAGGTGGTGTCAAAGGGGAAGCACGGATTGGCACCAGGGTAGAAGGGGAAGGAGCCATTCCATAGCGTCATCCTCCTGCCTGTGCAGGCTGGAAATAGATACCCAGAGGGACATAGGGGAGAAAATCACCTCCTCGCTTCCACCCCACCCAACTTTCTCCACAGACCTGTCTGCTGCCCACTTGCCAGCATGTGCACCCCCAGTGCCTGTTCACATTGCAGTCCTGCATCTGGGCATTCACTCAGGCATCTCCCATGGGACTCCTCCATCTCCCCAGGGCTGGGATGGGGAGTACATCCCAGAGTAAAACAGGTTTGAAGCCGCTGGGACACATGCTGCAATGCTCGGACTGTCCCCATGATGGGACAAGAATACAAGCACACATTGCTGGGCCTCTCGTCCCCCTCCTCTGTTTGTTCTCCACCCCAGTCTCTTGCCTGTGCCTCCACCCTCCCTCGTTCAGCTCTTTGTCAAGCAACCTGGCTCCTGCTTGTGGGTGTTGTGCTCAGGGCGCTTGGTGAATCACCATGAAAACACAGGCTGCGCCCCATCGGCTGCTCCTCACTGAGCCCTGGCTGGAGGTAACTCCTCACCATCCAAAGGAACAGGAATAACCCAGAGGGGACAGAGAAACTGCCTGTCTCTGGCATCAGGGTGCCAACCCTCTGTCCCAGGAGCTGGCTTGAGGCAGTGCTGTGCCATGGCGGGCAGAGGAATGCTGCTCAGGAAGCCAGCCCCGGATTTTTGCCATGGCACTTGGCCAACGTTTCTTCCTTGTTCTTCCTTGCTTTCCTGCTAGGAAAGGGCTGCTCACCATCCCCCAGGGAACGGGGACCATCCAGCAGCAGCTTCGGAAACACCCAGTTCCCTTCCCAGCTTTGATCCTACCTGTGCTGCTTCGATCCTGAGGGCTGGCTGCCGTGCCGAGACGCAGCGTGCTCCGGGATGCTACTTGCTCGCTTGCGCTGCTCCCAGGGCTGTGGGCAAGAAGCCAGACCAGTGTGTCACAGCGGTGTTTCTCCCAGTGTTTTCAGGGTGCCCGCCTCCAGAGATGGCTGGATCCAGCTTTATCCACAGCTGACCAGCCCCTGGTGCCGTTGCTGAGCCCCAGGGCAGGCAGGGAGCTGCAGCTGGCTCCACGCTGTGCAGCGTGGCTGAGGTGAGTGATCCCAGGCAGGGTTTGCCTTCTGGTTTTTAGCGTGACCAGCAGGTAGAGGGAGGCGATCCTGCCCCTCCGCTCTGCAATCCCGAAACCCCACTTGCAGCACTGTATGCAGTTCTGGTGTCCTCAACATAAGAAGGACATGGAGCTGTTGGAACAAGTCCAAAGGAGGCTATGAGGATGATCAGGGGCTGCAGCACCTCCCATATGGAGCCAGGCTGAGAACATTGGGGCTGTTCAGCCTGGGGAAGAGAAGCTGCGTGGAGACCTCAGAGCAGTTTCCAGTGTCTGAAGGGGGCTACAAGGATGCTGGAGAGGGACTCTTCATCAGGGACTGCAGTGATAGGACAAGGGGAGATGGGTTCAAACTGAAACAGGGGAAGTTCAGGTTAGATCTAAGGCAGAAGTTCTTCCCTGTGAGAGTGCTGAGGTGCCCAGAGAAGTGGTAAGTGCTCCATCCCTGGCAGTGTTCAAGGCCTTGCTGGACAGAGCATTGGGTGACCTTGTAAAGTGGAAGGTGTCCCTACCCATGAGCAGGGATTGGAACTGGATGAGCTTAAGGTCCCTTCCCAAATCATTCCACGATTCTATGATTCTTTTCCTCATTTTTTCCTGCAGAGTGGCGAAAAGTCCAGCTGTTCCTTCTGACATGAATGCCGTGGTGCTACTGGGCTCCTCAGGAGCTTCAAAGCCCTCACCTGCACTGCCCAGTGGAGTGTTCCATCTGAGGTCATCTAGCTGGTTGTGGCTGCACAGTCACCTCACTGACCCTGCTCCTGACTCCACCCCTCAGGTACATTCCCTGCCGGTCACTGGACAAGGCTGGCCAAGGGGACCAGCAGAGATTCACAGATCCCCATGTGATCCATGTAGTCAAAGTGCCCTGTTACGCAGAAGATGCTCAAGTTACTCACTTGGCCACGGTGTGGAGATCATGAAGATTCAAGCTTTTTGGGCTTGCTCTCATTCTTTGGCATTCTGGTTGGCTGCAGCAGGTTGCATTGATGCCAAGAGATCCCAGGTCAGCAGAAACACTCTCCTGACCCACATCTGGGGCTTTCCTCCAAAGCTGGCACAGTTACTGCAGTCCCCTGGGTACTTCTTCCTGCATCCCAGCAGCAGGCCTGGCTAGGTGCCCTGGAAAGCTGTGCTTGGCAGGGGGAGGTAAACCTAAGTTTTAATTCATGTGAAACAGGAAATAAAGGCATTTCTGGGCAAAGACTTTGCTATTTCCTCTCAAGTCCCAGGCTAGTGCTACCTAGTCTGAACACTGAATCCCTCCCTGAGGCTGGGAAAAGTGTATGCAGAGCTGTGCTGCAGAGGTGTCTGCTGATGCAGGTGATGCTGATGATGTGGCATCAGCTCTGGAAGTATCTGCAAAGTAGAGGAAAATGTGGACTTCACAGCAAATGGCACAGATCCTTGGGGCAACTGAGTGGACAAACGTGGTGCTTTGGACCTCTTGGAAAGATAGAAATACCAGCAGGGGTCAGGGATAACTGAGGAGATTCCTGATAATTGGCGGGATGAGATTAATTACTGAGATTCTCATTGCACATATCATGCAGGGTGGTGTGTGGGATGAGAAGTGGGGCTAGGCCAGCATTCCTTGCACTCCCTGGATCTGGGAGAGGCAGCAGGGCTCTGCACTGGCTTGGCCAAACCAGGGTTTGGGGTTTTCCTGGGGAAGGGATTGAGGCACTGTGAGGTTTGTGCTGTTCAGACAAGCATCACAGATGTGTCTTTTGGGTAGATGCCCTATTGGCAAAAATGAAAGTGTGCAGGGGAGAAGTTTCCCTCCTTCTCTAAAGGATGTATCCTGCAACACAGCATCTTTAGGCAAGGACACTGGGGGAGCCCATGGACTGCTCTGGTTCTCTCATCTGTCCCCAGCAGTGATGGAAACAGTGTGTGACGGGGTGGTGGGATGCTCCACTTCCCTGGGGTGCTGATGGGGTTGTGGGCTGGTAAGTGTGGGAAAATTTCCGGATTTACCCCTCATTAAGCACTCTGCATCCATGAAGAGGTTCTACAGAAAGCCTGAGGTCATGATGGTAACAGGGGTTTTATCAGGCATCTTCTGCCTCACTCACTTGTGAGTGATGGATGGGGCGATTAGGGATAAGTCACCTGATCCAGGTCATCTGAGGGAGGTGGGGACAAGGGGAGCAGCACCCATCACCTCTTGCACAAGCAACCACGCAGTGTTGGATCAGCCACCATCACTCATGGTGCCAGGAACCAAGGCGGGGAAGGCATGGGGACATGCCTGGGCAGGGAGACAATTTGGGGGATGGAGCAGGAGTCCCAAGAAGCCACCCCTTGCTCAGAGGGTTTCTGGCTGACCCATTGGTACCAGTGGGACAGACATGGTGTTTGTGTCCATGGACAGCCCCATTGGCTGTCCTTATTACACTTCTAGCCTGGTCCTCAATGTGGCGGATGCTGCTGATGGATCACAATGAGGCTCTGTTTGATGAAGCCCATCCAGTGTCCCATCCAGACACTTGGATGCATATCCTTGCCTGGGATTCTTTGCAACAGCTGAATGACCAGTAATGAAACAGCCTGAAGGGAGGAACAGGAGGAAAGATGGAGGAGCAGAGAAGTTCACAGTGCTGTGTCTATGACTTGGCTCTAGATATATTTGCAAGAAGGATCTATTTTTCCATCTCTACTTGGAAGTTACTTAAAGATTCTGAGAGAAGGGGAAGGTGTTGCTGCCCACTACAGTACTCGGTGAGCTGGGTTTCATATCTCATCATGGAGGAAGCTCAAGGTCAACAGAGAAGGCTGCCAGGACATGGATGCAGAGCTCAGCAGGTGCCACTCGTCGTCCTAGTGGGAATTGGAACAGGAGAAGCTTTAGCAACACTTTTAAGAAATCCTCATCCAGAAGTTGTGTTGTGTGATCAGACCTCTGCTCCTTCCAAGAGCCATCATGTAGGAGAGAAACAAGTCTCCTATGGCTTGGACCTTCAGAGGCACATGCCAGGAAGACCATCTTACTTGGAGCTGCTTGATCATCTTTGCTCCCTGCTCTAAACAGCTTTCAGCTACTGTCAGTGCTGTTGAAGCTTTTCACATGCTGTCAGAGATCCAGAGGACAGAAACCCAGCTGCCCCATTGCCCTTCTGAAAATTTCCATCTTGCCCAGAGACCCCATGGGCACCAATGGGGGCCAAACACCTGCCTGTGCCAGTGAAAGGGACCCCGCGATGTGGGGCTGGGGTTGGTCCCGGCTCCTTCCCAAGTGTCATACCTTTGCTGGGATTGCCCAATCTGGTTGAGGGGCAGCAGGTCCATCACTTTTCTCCTGTTTCACAGACCCCAAGTGCCCAGACCCTTCCAGCCTGCCCCGATCCCAGCATTGCAGCTCTGCAACAGCTGCTAAAGCAAAGGAATATAGGCAGGAGCCTGAGCAAGGGCCCTGATACTCTGGGAGAGCACAGAAGAGGGGGAGGACATCACTGCCTATCTTGCACCTATGTTAGAGATGTTGCCTCTCCACTAAAGAGCAAATGGGGTTGTCAGCTCCAAGACTGGCTCCCAACCTCAATTTGAGGGCCCCACTTCTGTGACAGAGCTCTGCTGCCCTGGCATGAGTGTTGGGCCATATCTCACGAGGGATTTTGCCACTCCAGCTTGGGGAACCTGTCCGCACAGATAACAGCCATTCTTGCCACTTTGACGTAACTATCAGCGAGTTGAACTTCTCCAGGCTTTGCCAGGGCTTGTTGATGATGCACTGCTTGGTCCCAGGCTGCAAGAGAAGCTTTCTCTTGTAATCCCTGTTGTTAGAGGCCTAATTAAAATGATACACATATTTCCATGGAACTCCTATCTCCCGTGTCTCCCTGCCAGCCTTGAAATCAATGCACAAAGCAACACTACCCCACCTTGGACTGCAATGCAGTGTGTGAGCACACACAAGCACTTTGCACCCTGTATCCTGGCTGTGGGGAAAAGATCATTTGATCTGTTTTTTCCATCCAGGCAAAAGTGCCAAAAGCAGGTGGTGCAGTAAGGAATAATGCATGGGTCTGAAAACCAGTGGAAAGGCTCGAGGGCTAGTCTGCAGTGTGTGGGCAGAAGTATTGTAAGATCATAGAATCATGGAATCAACCAGGTTGGAAAAGCCCTTTAAGCTCATCCAGTCCAACCGTTCCCAGCACTGCCAAGGCCACCCCTAACCCATGGCACTGAGGCCTCGTCTCCACGCTGTGTGAACACTTGCAGGGACGGTGACTGCAGCCCTGCCCTGGGCAGCCTGTTCCAATGCCTGAGCACCCTCTGGGGAAGGAATTGTTCTTCAGCTCCATCTAAACCTGCCCTCGTGCAGCTTGAGGCTGTTTCCTCTTGTTCTGTCACTTGCTACTTGGGAGCAGAGGCCAACCCCACCTCACTACAACCTCCTGTCAGGTAGTTTCAGATAAACCACAACCCACTCCTTGCTTAATATTAAAATAATAATCCATGGAGTGAAGGTAGCCTGCAAGCAGAGGTGGCCTTGCCTTAGCTTATGTGAAACAAATAGTTCAGTCCAGCTGGAACCAGCACACATTTTTGTAGGGTTTGTGGAATCACCTTCCAACCGGTTTAGGTTTTGCAAGAACCCCTTGCTGTCCCAGAGCCCTTAAGGACCTATTACAAACTCAAGAGTCCCTCTACTTTGACTTGGACCCCCACTGCTGGGATGAGCTTGAAGACTTGAAGCAGGAGGACAAGCACTATGGTGGAAGATCTCTAAGACAGATTGTCTAAGACCTGGCCTGAGGTTGGCCAGGTCTCCCGTGCATGTCCTCTACCAGCTAGGTATCACAAAGGCTTGTGGATTAGGGTGCAGAGCTCTTCCTGCCCAGTGGTGCTGTCCTACCAACCATCTCCTTGGGATAGTGTCTTGCAGTTGGTGACAGTCCTGGTGTGAGTGAGAGGTTGAACTAGAGACCTTCAAA